TAACCAGGAAAATGGAACTAAGAAAGCTATAATATATTCCTTAGAAATAGTACATCCAGCTGTCACTAAACAAAATTGTTCAATATCTAAAAACATTAAGTAGTTTCTTCTCTGAGCTATAGCACAAATATAACTCAGTGGATTAAGAACGCCATGATACAGAATACGACTAACTAAAGCAGTCTGCTGTTCTATACTCCAGCACCAATAATGTAACCATCTCTATGTATCAGCAAAAGAAGTTAAGACTGAAAGATATATGTAGGACAGAGAGATATATGACATCTCTGTTGCCTAACATCATGGATAATAGCTGGTTCAACCTTCAGGCTGAAAATAAATTTCAATCTCATGCTCAATATTAAAATAAAAACTGTAATAAAGTATACATATATTTATAAACATTCTTTAATTTCACTAATAAAATTGATTACCTAGTTATCCTATTTCACAACTTTTCTTAACACCAATTGATACAAGGGCCTTCAACTGTACTTGCATAGTTCGTTTTTAAAAGTAATGAGCTTAATTGTATCATACTGCATTTCTTTCTAAATTATACCCCTAATTAAAAATCCATTTGCCACAATAAAAGATAAAATATCTTTCTAGTCCATTTTACTCTATTTTTCCCCTATTCAAAACTTTTTTTACATCTCCAAAATCAGCATTCAGAATTGTTTTACAAAGAAAGCTTTTATTAGACATACAATATTAGTGTGCTTAATTTAACTATATTTCTGTCAATATATCTCAATGTGGTTTAATATAAATGGAATAAGCGTCCCTTAAAATATGATGTCACTTTGTTACAGATCAGCCTTTCTCAATCTGGATTTTGTAATGTTGGTCTAATATATGTGAACAGTATTTGGAAAGTTGGAAACATAATATGGAATAACGACATATATTGCTATTATATATTTTAGTAGACTGGGAACATGGTTTAAACCTAAACCTTGTTCACAGGAACAATTCTTTTCCATGAAGTTTCACACTTCAAATATTATATATGGGAAAAGAAACAAAAATTAGATAGTTAGCTCTCGAATCATTCATTTAGTGACTGTCCAAAAGTTACAATGGTACTGAAATAAGTGACTTATGGCTATTTTTCACACTTATGATCATTGCAGCATCCCCATGGTAATGTGAGCAACTGTGGATGTTTGGCAACTGCCATATATTTATGATGGTTGTAGTGTCCTGGAGTCATGTGATCAACTTTTGTGACCTTCTGACAAGTGAAATCAATGGGAAAACCAAATATTAACAACCATGTTCCTAATTTAAGAACCTCAGTGATTCACTTAACAATCATGGCAAGACAGACATAAAATGGGGTAAAACTCACTTAACAACTGTCTTGTTTAGAAACAACAAAATTGAGGCTCAATTCTGATCATAAATCAAAAGAGTACTTGCATAGAGTAGTTTATGAAATAGGAAGCACTATCAATATACTTAAATAGAATAAAAGTTGGAAAACAGAGTGCTCCAACCTATGATTATATTGAACAAAGATGAATATTAATCCTTTTCAGTTTCCAATAATTTCCAATTTCTTAAAAGAATTCAGAATTTCCTCCAATTGAGTTGAGTCACCACTCAATGACACAATTAGTTTTCTTAAAACTACGTTGCATTGAAATCTGCCACCATTTCCTTTCAAAAAAAGTCTTCCTGTGGTGACACCCAAAGGGACAATTTCATAGAGAACTTTGTTTTATATTTATTCCAAATCAGCATAGGCAATAAACACCAAAGCACATTAAGAAATGAAGTAATTTGTTTACACACAGAAAATATTGAGACTAGTAAATGATTGGCTATGGGATGAGATTACAATTTCAGACTGCTGCTAAATATCAGATTTAATACCAATTTTAAAAACTTCAAGAAAGCCTTTTCATTGTTGCACTTCTTTTTTTAAGTAGATGAACAGTGAAAAATGTACTCCTATCAATTTAAAATAACACTTTTTTTAAAAAAAAAAAGACTTGTGTTACTGGGTTTATTGGAATTGCCTGAGAAATCCGATTCTTTATTCATATGAACTTGTTTTTTTTAAAAAAAAATAGTTTATAAGTAATTTGATAGAATGCTTTTATTATTGAAGGCTATATGTACTTCTTGTTTAGTCAGTTAATGGAACTGTAGGAAAATGCGGACCTGGTCTTTGTTTAAAGAATTTAAAACCAGCAAATTTATAGTAATCAGACAGAGTAGCCAAGCACATATTTAAAGACCTAGCTTCATAAACTGCATCATCTTAATGTTGTTATTGTTATACTTGTTAATTAAACATTTCTCTATTTTACATCTTTAGGTTTCTCAGGTTGGGAAATCTATACTAAAAGATATACAACCATAATCTTTTAAAAAAAAACTTCTGTAAATCAGGGCCTGAATTATAAATGCATATAGCTATCTAATATTTATCTATTAAATTATATTCTCCAGCTATTTTTATGAATCCTGCATTATAAAAGATTCATACCTTCTCAATAAATAAAAAATACTCTTCTTTGCTCATCTCTTCTTTGAACAACTTCAAATATAACATTCAAAATTTAAAAAGTAATGCAGCACAACACTGTCATTAAACATTAGAAAGACAAAAACAATATACTATCATTAAAGGCCTATAATGCCCAAGCCAAACTATGTATCTTTTTATTATCATTTATGAACAAAACTTCAAAGTTCTGTTGTATTCACTTTACACACATTGTTTTAGACCTATATTATGTTTGAGAGCAGATTTTATGCCAGGAGAGAATACACAGTTTATTATCCATATTGTAATTCCACAGTTAAATGTATTTTATTGAAGTTCATTAACATAGTTTTTAAAAGATATATTTTATTCAACTTGTGCTAACTTCATATACTAAAAAAACACTGATGCTTTTACTTACCATTGTTATGTACAATTATGACAGATAAAGGCTCCAGAAAGGATTAACTCAAACCGTGCATGAAAAACATTAAGACATTCATTCAATCTGGGTAGCTTATACCCACAAGGACTGGGAGAACAGTAAGGTCGTTAATAGGTCCTGAACAATTTAAGAATGAGAGCCATATTAATTTCAGGATCTATGTCTGATGACTGGTTGTATTGGTAAGACATCTCACCAATATACTGATTGGAAACACAGTTCTGAAAGATGTTTAGTAATAATTGTGGAATGAGGCAAGGCAGGAACAAAATCATGGTTATAGTCACATTCTTATAAAACAAGAATAGGTACATTTAATACAGACATTAATTTTTTTTTGTTTTGCATTTCAATCCAAAATTATCTCCCTACCAGAAGGAAAAAGAGTAAAAATAGATGAGGATTCTAGTCATATTATTCCCTTTATATAAATTCAAAACTATTTACTAGATCAAAATTTACTGTAGGCCTAAAAGGTTATCTCATTTATGTAAAAAGTGAATGAATGTATGCATTGTTAAAATGTAAGAGTTCAAATGTAACCTGTGTTTGAAATTATGTAAGTTTTTCTTCCACTATTTTTTCCTCACAGTAATTATAACCATATTTTGGTTTAGTGGGTTTTTTAAAAACGTAAACAATAACTTACATTAAGTAATAACATTTTTAATCACTGCATATACAAGAGAATAAAAGACAGAATAATTCTTATATATGAATTCCTTTAGAATTTCATCTGATTCTCTTAAAAAACTCAACTTAAATCAAATATTTTTCTTACCAAGAGACAATGTTTTATATAAATGCCTATCTATTACCTGTACCTACAATAAAGGTAAATAAAATGCATGTCTTCCATACTTTGTAGATCACTTTCTTAATTAACAAATGGTGCCTGACTTTCATACTATTTATAGTATTACTATCTCAATTCCAAACGCTTATTTAATTAATCTTTCATTCATAAGCAGGATTGTTTTTCCAGGAAGAACTATTCATTAGAAATAACAAATATTTTAAAACTGAAAAATAATTTAGAGTCCAATTTTTGCAAACTATGCTATATATAAATCTTGACAAAGATTTGTCTGTATGTTTATGCATTTTCCAAAATATTTTATGTTGCTATTCTGCAGATTTAGAAAGGTTCTCTAGTTTTCTTGAAGTAGCAAATTAGTAATCAGTTTGCATAAATGAATCCCAGGCTCCTGAACAGAATAAAAAAATTATTAAATCATTACGTACAATTTGTATTGAAAAATATAGAACTATATATTTATCTAATGCAGATGCTTTAATCAATAGTTGCAAATTAAGTTACTATTTATAACAATTAAAATCATGAAAAAACATAAGAATCACTCATATTATAAAAGGCAAAAAGATGAAAATTGACTAAGCCAGGATAGAAAAATAAGCGTCCAGTTTAATTACATACCAGAACACTTCCTCCCCAAAATCTCAGTGTAGTTACTATGAATTTCTAGATTTTCCATGGCAGCTATTTCCAAAACTATATTGGAGCTCTTGAGAAAAGACTCCTCTAATTCAGCATGAAATTAAAAAAAAAAACTTGGTAAATGCTCAGGTAATATTGTTTAGTGGTACTATTTTCTAATCCTTACATACTATTACATAAAGAGACAAATATATTTCACACTGTACAGGTAGTCCTTGACTTACGATCACAACTGAACCCAAAATTTCTGTTAAGTGAGACATTTGTTAAGTGAGTTTTGCCCATGTTATGACCTTTCTTGCCATAGTTAAGTGAATCACTGCATTTGATAAGTTAGTAACACAGTTGTTAAGTGAATCTGGCTTCCCCATTAACTTGGCTTGTCAGGTCACAAAATGACCTTGGGACACAGCAACAGTCATGAGTCAGTTGTCAAGTATCTGTATTTTGATCACATGATCATGGGGATGCTACAAAGGTAATAAGTGTGAAAGTCACTTTTTCAGTGCCATTGTAATTTTGAACAATCACTAAAAGAACTGTTGTGAGTTGAGGACTACCTGCACTGTAATGCCTGCAAAAGAATAAGGACTTACCTGCAACACTTGTAATAGTGACTGGCACTCCTTGTACTTGAACACCTGCAGCACCCAAGTTGGCTACACTTACTGTTTGAAGATTAGGCACTGAAGCAATCTGAGCAGCATTAAGTGTTATTGGTGTACCAGCAACAGCTACTGGTGCTATCTGAGCAATTGTACCACCACTTGAAGATACAGGGGTAATAGTTAATTGCTGGGGTAGCCCAGCATTTTGAACTTGGAGATTTGAAAGACTTTGAAGATTTTGGACTTGAACTGTCTGCCAGCTGATTTGTCCTGATGGGGTTAAAGTTGGTGCTCTTATGAGTACTTGTGTTGGATTCATTGCTTGCAGCTGAACATTTTGCAATGACTGTTGCTGAATAGCTTGAATAGTTTGTCCTGACTGAAGCTGGAAAGACTGTGGAGAAATTGCTTGAATGATCTGCTGCTGAGGCTGTTGGATCTGGATCTGCTGGAGAATAGGTTGGCCTACTATTTGAACCTGTTGCAGTGAATTTGACTGATCCTGCATATTTTGCAATCCATTGGATTGAAGCTGACTAGAACTTTGTGCCTCTGTTTCAGACGTGGTAGTTTGAGTTTCTTCAGTATTAGTTTCAGAACTGTTTGCTGTGCTTGCATACTGGCCTGTTTCTCCAGGAGCAACTAATGTTTCAGTGCTTGTTAATGATGTGGAGGCTGTAGTTGTGCATGTGGAAGTAGAAGATTCAGGCATAGCACTAACAGAAGTTGTTGCAACAGGTGTGGACAATAGTTGGTTTCCATTGGACAGTCCACTATCAGTGGATTGGACAACTTGTCCAGAACTAGTACCTGCTGCAACATTTATTACAGGTAATGCTAGAGTCACTCCCCCAATATTTATAGGCAATGAAGTTACAACTTGAGCTTGAGTACCAGCAATAGGTAGCTGCAATGGAATAGAAACACCAGGCCTAATCTGAATAGGCACTGTTTGATTTGCCAAATTCTGAGCAATAATATTCCCAGAAGCTGTCCTATTTGTAGTTGTGATAATAGCTTGATTATTCCCTGCAGGAATAAGCTGAATCTGACTCTGTATATCTTGCAGAGCTGTGGCATTAGCAGGATTTATCTGAATTTGTTGACCTTCTGTTGTCTGAATTTGTGGAATCACTTGGTATTGAATGCTACCACCTGAATTCTGAACTTGGATAACCTGAAATTGTCCTGGAGTTACTCCAGAAAAATTGCTTGGTTTAGTTTTTGAGGGGGATACATTTCCATTGTTGCTATTGGAGGTACCTGCAGTTGAAACAACAGAAGATATTTGCTGGTTGTTGTTTTCTTTTGAAGCAGGAGGAGCTGCAACAAGTTGCCAAGCATTTCCAGCAAGTTGAGTTGTCACTAATTCTAACTGCTGTGGTTGGCTCTGAAGCTGAACCAAACCCTGACCTGGATCTATAATAATCTGTTGTCCAGTTGATTGATTCTCACCAGGAGTTCCTATTTTACTGCAAGTTGCTGCCAACAGAGCCAGAGGGGAGGGCTGAGAATCCTAACAAAAATATTATGTGTATTAGAACCTAAACTATAAAATAGCAGTAACAGCATTATACATATCAATGGTTATCTAACCATAAAGTTATAGAAATAGGAAATTACCCACAGCTAACTATTTCTTCTTCTACTGAGCCTTTCAAGAACCTCTAAAGTAAATTTTGATAAATATATTTCCCATCTGGAAATACATGTAAGTAATGTTTGCTTGCTCCCTCCCTCCCTCCCTCTTGTTTTCCTCCATTTTTTTAGACATTTTACCTGAGAAGCTCCAATTTTGTTCTTCTTATTGTTGTTCTCAGCCTCAGGAGATTTTTCTCCCTCAGAAGGCATAGTTTCTTCCTTCTTTTGATCTTCAAAAAAAAAAAAAAGTGGGGGGGGGATACAAAATTTATTAAGCACCATCCTTTACGTCTATTTGGGCACAGAAAATAATCAGAACGTTCTCACTGACCCCTGGGTCCTCCATGCTTTTGCTAGTTGAAAGACACTGTCCACTTCTCTAGTGGAAAACAGGGAGACTTAAGAAACGTGGTTTTAAACCCGGCCTACAGGGGCTGGCGATGAACGCCCAGAAAGGGGAGTTTTGATTGGTTTCTGCTATCGGAGACTGTAAGGCAGAGGGGGGAAAAAACCACCCACAACCCTCCCCCTCCTCCTGCCCCTAAAGCATCCACGGCTACTGAGTGGCCCAGGATGCTTTAGGGGCAGGAGGAGGGAGGTGCAGGGGAGGGGAAAATGGGAGGAAACAGAAGCGAAGGAGGGATGGATGGATGTACACAGGAAGAGGGCTAGGAAAGAAAGAAGGAATGGGAGAGAGAAAAAGGAGGGAGGGCAGTGGGAGGGAAGAGAAAAGGGCTCGGGACGAACGAGGCGGCCGGGTGAGATGGCGCGGGAAGGCAGCAGAGTGGGAGGGAAGGAGGGGGGCTACGTACCGCTCATCCCGCATTAACGCCCGCTGAGGCGCGGCTCGAGGAGGGAGGGGAGGGACGGAGGGCGGGGTGCTGGGGGTAGCGGCGAGAGAAGGCCGGTCGCTGCCGGAGCTGGGAGGAGCAGGTCGGCCTATTTTTCCACGAATGGCCGCCGCTGGGCTGTGGCGTAGCTGCCCGTCTCTCCGCCCGCTGCCGTCGCCTATCTCAGCCTAGGCTCCTGATTGACAACTTAAAGCCAGACGAAGCGTGGGGGGGAGGGAGCGGAGGAGGAGGAGGAGGGCGGGGCCGGGGGACGCCTCGGCTGATCCCCACCGAGGAGCCAAGCGAAGCAAGCGGCAGCCGGCCTGAAGGAGAAGGGGGCGGGGGAGAGCGGCGAGGGGAGGAGCGAGGGCGGCGTTAGTCTGGAGCGGCGCGGGAGTCGGATCCTGGCTTGAAAGCGGGTCAACTTGTAGCAAGGGCCTAATGGCCGCGGAGACCACAAACGGCTAGTCTGAGGGAAGGGTGGCGCACCCAGCACGCGCGAGGAGTAAGGAACCAGGCGAAAGGGCTTGTTTTCCCCCCTTCTCTCTCGGCCTCGCTCTCCCCATAGCGAAAAGCGGAGGCGGGATTAAGGGTGGGGCGACGCAGAGGGGGTGGGGTTCTCAGCCCGCCCCTATCTCCCAGCGAATTTGTAGCTGATTGACATGCTTCTGCGAAGCCGAGAACGAATGAAATAGGAACCTGAAAGAAGGCGCGAACCAACTTCTGCGCCGCCGGAATCGGTTCACTTTTTTTTTTTTTTTTAACCAAAGGTCTCGAACCTTCTAATATATTGGTCGAGAAGGATCCGTATCTTCCCTCGTGCCAATTTAGGTTACTCATGGAATACAAAAATAAGGAGAAAGTGCTATACTCTGCCGTCCGAATTCAAGGCTGCGTTTTAGATTATTTTAAAAAAATGCTTGTGAGTGGTTGTGTAAAGGTACACAATCTATGCCGGGATTTGTAGTTTTCAGCGTAGCGCGTGCGCAATGCAGTCCAGGTGCTATCAATTAGGCTTTTACTGTACCTTGTGTAGTAGAATTCCCTGCAAAGTCTTTGCGATACTCTAGTAGTTTATGGTGATCTGTGGTTGATTAATTGGCAGGGTGGGTTACCATGAGACATAGGCCTCACTGATTTTAGAAATGTCAAGGATAGAGAGGCTATGGATGTTGGCATCGATCTAGTGTCACCTGAAATTTTGGAGACAGATTTGAATCACAAAAATGCCTGAAATATTCAGAATGTGGTTTGAGTCAAATTACAAAGGACAGGTCTATATCCCCCAATGGCCTAATATTAAAATCCCAAATTAACAAATTTTCTGTTAGCTTCAGAGGGAAATAAATTGGTGTGGTATTCTTGTTATTGAGACTTAGCAAATTCCCAACAGTAGCTACCAATCATCAGGTAATAACCCTGAACCATTTAGTGTGTGTGTGGAACATTACATCTGATGCAATCAATTGGTGGGCAAAAACTTTCACAAGCCAGAAAGAATGCCAGAATTAGTAACATACTCAAAACTTACTCTTATGATATCTGGTTTTCTTATAAGAAAAAAATCCAAAGTAAACTTTCTGTAGGTTAAGATGTATGGCACAAAAATTTAATAAGATTTCAATTTGCTAGCAACAGGTTTGAACTGGTTAAAATAATTTCTATAACTATAAAAATAACTTTAAAAAGCCTTTTAAAGGCATTCTTAATTAATCTGCCATCTTTTTAATCTCTACAGCTATTCTTTAGTTTGGAAATATGACTTAAGATGCTAACAATGTTCATTTCCACAAATTATATGCTGTTAGAACCTAGACCTCATAACTTAGCTTGTTAACTAACTTGCCTTTACCTTGTAATTTTGTATCATCTGAATTTGGAGAATGAAGCTCACTAGCCTTTCTCAATCAAATATAAACTCTCAGTTGCACACTCATGAAAGATCAATTGTTTCACCAAATTTCAGGGCAGTTATCAGATGCCCAGGGAATTCATTAATTTGGATCCAGAGATGTTAAAAACTCCAGTAAATAAAGGGCTTTGTTATTAACTAAGCATACAGATTTAAAAGCATAACATGAAAAGCATACATACCAACAAGGTAGTATTCCAATCTCTTAAAAGCTTCCAGAAGTTCCTTAACAGCAGACGTATTCTTAAGAGAAGCCAGTGCTCACTCTCTCCAGCTGCAGGTTCTGTGCAAAAGCTTCCAACAATTAACTACCCAGCCTTTTTTTTTAAAATCAAAACAAAGTCAGGATTTCATGGCCTTGTATTGGTCTGGGCTGCAAGACCTCACCTTGACTGGCTGGCTAAGATACTGAGGATGGGAATAAAAAAATGTGAGTCTTAAGGAGGAAAGCTCTGAAATTGTGAAGATTCCTTCCTCCCTTCTTGGTATAGCAAGCAAGATGAAAAACAAGCTGGCCAGCTCAGAATGACCTCTAAACTACTACACTTCTCTTAATATGAAGAAGAAATCAAAATAAACTTAAAATAACACTTTTCTTCTGCATTGCCACTACATTCAACTCCTTACATATTTTAATTTCTTTTCATGATTTTATTTTTATGAATTCCATATCTCTAATAAATTATACATTTAACTTTAACATCTAAAATACACATGTATATAATAATCAGCAGAAAAATAATTATTGGATGTTATATTTTAAACCATTAGTCATAATTGGCTGCATTCTGACCACACTTTGTAAAACTCTTCCACCAACCTCTAAATATATGATGGTCTTGCTTTGTTTTTTTAAAACTGGATGCATGGTAAAACAGCATTTTTATTTCATGGCACACTTTCTCCTTAAGCAGATGGAGAGCCCTGATTTACTATCATGAGGACATCAGCAATTGTGTTCAAGTACTGATATCAATGTGCTAGATATTAGTCCTTGAACTAATTAAAAATTACCAACAATTATAATGATTACTTAATGAGGCATATTCATGCTAGATGCCTTTGTGACTGCGAACTGAAAATACATGGCAGACTCATCCAGGAGATAAAAAGTAGTTTTTAAAAAAGTAACAGTTTACTGCTATACTTCTTTGTTAGTTTACCATCTGATTTTTTTTGTACAAGACTTTCTTTTCTGTAGATGTAAATCCTCCCTAACATTTTAAATATTATTTTCTAGCCCATCTATCTTATTAGGCAAATCATAACTTTTTCTAAAATTAGCTGGAAGTCTGATTCTCTCTCTCAATAAACACATTACTTACTATCTCTCTCTTATACAGGACAGCCTAACGTTTTTCTCTGTTATCTAGGCCTATTATACTGTCTCAATTCTCTTTATAACCAAATTGGACCTGAGGACAATCCGGTCATGATGCAGCTATGTACAAATTTACAGATGTACAATTTTGTTTACATGCTATATACAATTTCCAAGCACTGCCTATTCTGCATCAGGAAATTGGAAGTGCCTTCTGCTTCCCCATCCCTAGACATTTCTAACTGCTTAAGCCAATCCACAGCTGAATTGCAGTAAAACATAAATAGTTAGCCCTGGGATGTGTCTCTAAGCCCCATCTATCTCATCCAGAAGCGCAAGCTCATCTTTAAAAGCAGTGACTTCTTCAGTTTGTTGCTGCACCTTTGTTTGAGTAGCTTCAAATTGCACCCAGACATTATGGAGCTCCATGAGAAAAACCATCCAAGTACTGTCCCTTCTTCTCTCACACTTCCAATAACTGCATGTATTTAAGCACTGCATCAGTCTCCAAATTGTGAAATAAATTCTTCGTGTAGGGGAAAATATAATTTTCTTTCCATTAGTTCCCTAGCCCCAGTTCATATTTTAAATCTCCATATTTTATATCTGGAAATCACATGACAGGATGGCAAACATTTAGCCACAGTGCAATACAAATTATAAAATTAAGGTTATGCTTAAATACTTTAGTCTGTCTACATCTGGGTGTAGGAACCAGTATGCATTTATAGGCATAGTGTTGTTTTTTCAGCAATTATTAAGAATACAGATTAAACTACAAGGTTATTACTAAGGTAAGTATTGTATGTCATGAATGCTGTAACTAAATACTACAAAGGACCCAAGTGGTTTCTAACAAAAAATCAAGCACTTTCTTTGTCTTGAACATATTTAAAGTGAAAGTCTAAATGAATTGTAGATAGCAATTATGTAGGAGGAATCGCAGAACCTGGAAACGAAATTAAAAGAGGGATCAGCCTAGAATCCCTATTCTAGAAAGCAGACTAAGTCCAACCTCCCTTGAATTCTATTGATCCTTATTTACAGTGATGGGATTCACAATTTTTTTTACTACCAGTTCTGTGGGCGTGGCTTGGTGGGCATGGCAAGGGAATGATACTGTAAAATCTCCACTCAAAGGTGGTATTTGCCGGTTCTCCGAACTACTCAAAATTTCCACTACCAGTTCTCCAGAATTGGTCAGAACCTGCTGAATATCACCTCTGCTTATTTAACTGCTAGTGCTCTTTGTTGAGAAGATTCCTGTGCATAGGCATGAGTAGCAATAAATCAATTTAATTGGACCTTCACATGTTCTTTCATGCCCAACAACTTCCATCCCAAATAAATTCAGAAGTGAATTGATACTTTTCTGCCCATTTGGTTTTCACTGGAAATTAAAAATGAGGTCTGTGATGAAAATGTTTCTTTTATTTAAGAATGATTAAACATATTTTTCTTTTGATCAAATTACAAATGGTAATTATTATTGCTACATGAATAGTTATTGTTACAAATAAGCAAAAATGTTATTGGATTGATTGATTGATTATGTGCCTTCAAATAGTTTTTGACTCTTAACAACCACATAGATTTTCTCCAAAGCAATCTATCCCCAAGCTGTTCTTTTATGTGTACCAATGGTGTACTCATCAGCTCTGAAACTGAGTCTATCCACCTTGTTGCTGTTCCTCTTCTTCTTTCAACTCCTACCTTTCTACCTTTCCCAGCATTAGAATCTTTTCTAGAGAGTTGAGTCTTTGCATAATGTGTCCAAA